GAATTTAATAGTATAGAAAGCCAAACTATATCGCACCCAAAAAAAAAAAAGAAGCCAGACTATATTGTTACTTCAAATTATACCATCATGTTTTAGAAGAAAAATACAAATTCAACTAACACAGTAACAAATCTCCGATTTAATTATGACACAAGATTTTGATATGTTTAAGACTAGTATGTACATATTGGGATGTATAGTATGCTAAATGTGAAAGAGGAAGCAGGAAGGCGTAGACATAGAGATTGCAAAATGGCAAAGCAAAGGCATAAACATAAGGTGTGAAAGGAGAGATAATAGGAACGGCTACAAAGCCGGAGCTATGAAAGAAGCTCTTACCCATAGCTACATTAGGCAATGCGACTTTGTGACAGTCTTCGATGCCGATTTTCAACCCGAGCCCGATTACCTCATCCGCACCATCCCCTTCCTCGTCCACAACCCTGAGGTTGCTCTCGTTCAAGCTCGGTGGATATTTGGTATATATAAAAAAACTGTTTAATTACAATCATTTGTATTATGCTTTGCTAATTGCTTTTGTGATGAAATTTATGAATCTTTGTGATTTTTTTTTGCAGTGAACGCCAACGAATGCTTGATGACGAGGATGCAAGAGATGTCCCTCAACTACCATTTCAAGGTGGAACAAGAATCAGGGTCTACTAGACATGCTTTCTTTGGGTTTAATGGTATATATAACTTAATCTCCGAGCATATATATTATCAAAATAAGAAAAATTGATAAAATTCTGTCAAATACAACTATATAAGATGACGATGAACCAAATGGAGAACCATTTTAAGGAAGAGAGCATCGGAAGTATAGCAACCTCAAATTAACAAGAAAACGAATATGTACTTTAACGAGAACACTTATCCCTATTTAGCAAAAAAAAGAGAACACTTATCCCTTACTTTACATATGCTTTAAAGTTTTTTAGGTTTGGAGGATTTTTTTTTATAAATAGTCTACCAAGAATCCAAGTGATTTACCTCTAAAAATTTCCGCTACATCACTAATCAATTACGAGATTCTAATTTTTGGACCACCATGTAATGAAACTTAAGTGGTATATGTAAAATTGTAGGAACCGCGGGTGTTTGGAGAATAGCAGCAATAGAAGAAGCAGGAGGATGGAAATCAAGGACAACGGTAGAAGACATGGACTTAGCCGTTCGAGTTGGTCTTCACGGCTGGAAATTTGTCTACCTAAACGACCTCACGGTATATATTAATTAACACGTTTTCTATCAATATATATATGCTCTAGAAGTTAGTTACTATGCAAATAATAGTACATCTTTTGTTGTCACTAACCAAGCAATAAATGGGTAACTTGGCGGCTTGTAGGTGAGAAACGAGCTTCCAAGCAAATTCAAGGCCTACAGATTCCAACAGCATAGGTGGTCCTGTGGTCCAGCCAATCTTTTTCGAAAGATGACACTGGAAATCATTCTCAATAAGGTCTCGCTTTTTGTCACTTTGCTTGGCTTCGACCCCACGTGTCAGTGAATGATTGGATCTGGCTTTTTTTGTCTTTTAGATGGGATAGGGCCCCGCTAGTGATAAGCAAGGTGTCTTGTTCCAACTTAGTGGGCCCACTCTAGACTAATGATTGATTGGTTAAGGCCAAATCTTTTTGTCTTTTCGTGTGGTCTTTATAATCACTTGGATTAATTAACTAGGGTTTGTTCCGTTTCAAAATGGTTCGGTAGGTTTGATCGAATCAAACGAGA